CCGCGGGAAGCAACTTCGACTACAATTTTTCACTTTACACTTACTTCTAAAAATTTCCCTTTCTGCCTATTTCTATTCCCCACCCCCCAAAACTCTATAACCACCGTTTTTGCAGGACAAAATGCTGAGACTAGGGGTATACGAGTGGGGCTACATAAGCTACTTTTGTCGTCACAACAGGCAATCGTCTGAACATCGTTGTCGCCGGCATCGGTGAGGGCTTGCAAACTTTGGATTTCAGAAGGCCTGCGACTGATGACCATCAACCTACGGACCAGCAACAGGACCCACTGGGACCGCACGGATATAAAAACGTAATCCCGCCATGACACCAAGTAGGTACTTTGAAATATATTAGTCTCTCCACTGGCAAAGCCCAAGTAGAATGCAGGTTTATGAATCAACTGCCCGACCGGTGCTGTCCGTCGTACCAAGTCGAAAGAGTCAAAACTGGCTCATTATACTCCACCGATGCATGGAATAAGGAAGGAACTCATTTTCTCGTGGGTTATATATCCTACATTTTAACAGCTCATGATATTGTGGGAGAGCATGAAGAAGCAAGAGAAAATTGCCTAACTCAACAAAACGCCAGAACACCAGTCGTATTGCAGGAAGCGGGACTGGAAGTTAAAACTAGTACACTGTTTTTCTACTCCTAATTAAAAGGGCTTATCCTTTAAGATGTCTGGAAGATATAACCAGATATGCATCCTCGCAACAATAATAGCTATACCATGGGAAGGGCGTTAATCGATAGCCTAGGTAAACATTATAATTTCCTTGAAATTCCATAACTGGTCATTTTGTTTTCTGACGACATTATCAGATGGTTTAGCAAGTGTGGCAAATTTTCGACGGCTAATAGGCTTATACACGACAAACCCATCATTCGTACGACTAACACTGTATTATCAGTCGGTAAACGGACCTTATTATAGCCTTCATTCAAATTAAAAGAGTACAGGAGTCCGGAAGGACTAATGGTGACAAAAGCGGAACCTATAATGGCCATTTCTGACCCATTGGCATTTGCCCGCGAACCCTTCCCAATCCCCAGCTAAGTTTGTGAATGTATGTGTTTAGACTACTGGTGTTGATAAAAAAGGCGGATCTCTCTTCATACAGTGTGAGAGAGATGAACAAAATATTAGTTAACTCAAACATACTGGCAAATGTCTGCAATTAATTCATAGTATTTGCCAATCCTCGAGCATATAATTGCAAAATAGATGTCTGGAGGGGGGCATTTATTTCACTTTGAGAGATAAAGCGGAACCTTTCCGAGGAAGAACACGTAAATATCGTCGTTAACCAGGGTGTGCGTTTATCCATGCAGCATTCAAGATCAGCTTTCGCAAGTTTTGAGTGCAGGACGCTTGTCCTTCGACGGAAAAAGACTTCATCCTTCAGATTAATCGAAACTCTATCAACTGAAAAGCCACCAACGGATTTCAAGTATATAAGATCAGGATAGGAAAAAAACCTGGGCATTGACGTGAGGATTTTAAAATCACAAGTGAAAGAAAGTAGTAGTAGTCGGGGAGTGCTTAGCTGCTTACCGCGAATACCGAGATGATGGCAGAAAGCCGCGAATCCTAGCGACTCCATTTCAATATTACGCACACCCAGATCGTGGGCTTTTTTCAGGAATTCCAGTTTCTCTGCCTCGCTGTACTCGCATATGGCGCCATCGAGACGTCCCTGTTCTATGATAGTTATGAAGAAAATAAGTATTAAATCATAGCAAAAACGCAATCAAAGCAACCAGGCTTTGTAAGCGTACGTTTCGACCCAATTCACTGTCATATCAACAGGCACCTTAATGTATAGATATGGTATGTAGATAGAAACGTAACGTGGGGTTGCTTAGCGCAGTTGGCCTTTCACACCTAGAACAGGAGAACTCCCCTATACACGTGAAGATACAGCAAGTAGTTGCAGAAAATATTGCGTATTGACTTACAAGAAGACAAATACTAACAGGGAATTCGCCACAGAAGGTGCGTCTTGCAATAGGAATTATTTTGGTTTGGCGAATCAGCCCGCTTTCCGTCCTTTTAAAACTGGCCTGTCCATCAACGTCTGGAAAAATAAAACTGTCTTTGTCTCTAGTGGTGAGAAGTTGACTGGTTTAAAAGATGGTTACGGAATTGGTAGCGGAGCAGCCTAATGGCGTTGCTGGGCTTCGTTTCCAGTCAACGAGATTTTATGATGGAACAGATGATGTGCCGCTCCTTTGTGCTCACAATATATTATTGAGTACCATTTCTTCAAGTACAACACTTCTTGGGTAGTCTGGGGGTAGACTGCGTTTGTAAATGGTAGGTCAAGCAGACTGAAATTTTATTAGCCAGGTTTTTGGAAGTCTGCCTAGTGTGCAAACATGGAGACAACGTCGACGTAGGCCGCCAACCACCCTAATACAGTGAAATTCTAGAAAAGACACCGCTTAGGCTTTGCCAAAAAAAACATTTTTTTGAAAAAAAAATATGCGCATAGGTGGTTCGCACTGAACTGTAGGAATCATCAAATAAAACGCTTGGTTCCACTCCCACATAGAAAGGTCACCAAAACACCAGTCTTTGAGTGCATGACTTAGAATAAAACATTCGCGGAAATATATATTTCCGCCTTCCATATAAACATACCTTCGTAAAAGTCGTTTGCACACATCGTTCGACCAGAGATGACGGTATAATCATGTGCTACGCTTTTGGAGGTTTCAATCAGTTCTTGTACCAACTGAGTATCCAGCTTCGCAGGTCTCTGAACTGTTTTGCCAAGGATTTTCTACATTGCAAAAAGTATGAACGGGCTTATTATGGATCAGCGACAACGGAAGACGGACATACCTTAATGGATAAATGAGCTATGCGATTGGAAAAGAAAATATTGAAATCTCCTTTTAAATTAACGTCTTCTTTTGGTAACGTGAGACTATACAGTTTACTGGCCTATGTATTATAACTTAACGTCAGAAAGAAAATATTTGTACTAGGTGGGGAACGCTTATATGTCGCCATCCTGTCAGAACACGGCAAAGAAATCGTGCGTAATATGGGTGGTTTTGCATTAGATTACTATTGCATCGGGGCTACGGTCATGAATGTGCTTAGGCTTAGTAATAGGGTTACGGAGCTACAATGTGTTGCGGTTCGTGTTAGGTTTAGGACAATAGAATAATTACTATACCTGTTAATCCCTGTAAATGACAGGGGGATGTTCCTATTCCCGCATCCTCTCGGGAGTGTCATATAAGCGATTCTTACCGTATACTAAATAATGTGTTACATCGTGTCAAAGACAACTCTCTGAACCCAAATGTTGCAAACCAAGCGCACACTAAAGCTCAGAAATTCAGAATATGACAATCACACTGAAAAAACAAATCCCACTTGAAACATCATCCTCAAAAATCAACAAAGTTCCAATAAGTGTGTATAGATGGCCAATTTGTGTGTCTAACAGAATTCAATTGCTAGTAAAAAGCTCGTTAATCCTTCCCTTCTTCTCTCAGATTAAGAAGACGAAACATGAAGAACGCCGACGTTCAGAACATATTTTTTCAAAGTGGCTACGGCCCTTACAGAGGAGACAAATCTAATGAAGTTCAGGGATGTGGACTGTCGCTTAGCATGCTAGATGATGATATCAAACAGGTGTCTCTCTGTTTCTCTAACCGGCTAGTTGCGCAGATGCGATCTTGCATGCCGGCTGCGGCATGACATAAAGACTCATTTGGCACTTGAAACAGGGTTTTTCACATTTGCATGAATATTCTTGAACAACGGCGACTGAAGTAGCCAGAGCATACCAGCTGCAAAAAGTTTTCGAAGCCACAATCCACGCAGTCGGTAGTTACGACGACCGAACCAGGCTCGAGTCCTGAAAACGATAGAAAAAGATCGATAAATTCTCACTAAAAGATATCATACGGCAATCAAATTCAGTAAAAGCTAAATGTCAGTGCGTAAAAATCGATAACCTCCACAGAGCGTATGGGCACTAAACTGCAATAACTGGGGAAAATGAGTTCCAGTCTAATTTACTTTCCAAAGAAAGTTATCATAAGCTTAGAAGTTAGCACGCAGAACAGACATCTGCAGACTCCATGCGAAAGTTTCTATGAAGATTTGAGCTGAAATCCATCAGCTACATCGGAATAACCGCATAATATTCATAAAATATCAAAAGACAGTCAGTATTATACAACTACGAATTTTTTAGCATAGAGACAGCACAAATACTAGCAGCCTGACGTCGTGCCGTTGCACGACGCAGCTGCAAGGAGTTCGGTTCATCAATGGGTTCCTCAGCGTTCCCCTTGCGTTTTCTGGTGTCTGATCTCCGGTTTATATCCTGCCTTGCTTAATTTCCGAGGAAAGTAATGCGCAAACATGGCAGCAATTCTTCTAAACAAAACGTTTCAGGCTCGGTCCAAAATTTGGGATGCATGTTTGGGCGGAAATCCATCAGCGACTGTGGAATAACCACGTATTATTCACAAGCTGTCGACAGAGTCGGTACTATACAGCGGTGTAATTATTTGCCATCCGCTAAGTTGGTCTGATCGCTGAAAGTTGGGCTGGGTAGCGGTAATAGACCTGAACTTTCTATCATTATCACTGCATGGTAACTGAACTCCCTTAATGGGACGTCGGACTACTGCGTATAGTTTAATAATCACTCTAGAAATAATAGACAACAGCGACACTTTAAAAAATGTGAAATAATCAACACGTAGGCTTTGGGCAGCAGATATCCTTTTGCTTTCAAATGTGTGAGCAGTTGGAACTATTGTGTGCAGAGACCGACTGGTTATAAGAGTGGGCTCTGAAAGGCCAGTTTCATTCGAGGTATCCGTCTAGCTGATTTCAGAAAAATATATAAGCTCGAGGGCTAATAGTGTTTTTTGGAAAATGATCGAGGCAGAGTAAACTCACCCACTCCACCGCAGGTCCCAAGTCGGATGAATGCAACGTCTTTGCAGCCAGCATGCCACATGAGTTTGGCCATTTCGTGGAGCAGAATAGAAATGGAAGGAATCCCCATACCGTGCTAAGAAAAATCAGAAAAGCATTATAAATTCAAATTAAGTCTGTCTTCACGAAATGGATGGGAAAATACAAACCTTCAAATTACTGATCGCGACTTTTAACTAAGATATAACTGTCACAGTTCCGTATAACATATCCTGACTGCAGAAAAAGAACAAACACGCCAACTATAAGACACCGCAGTCAGCCATCAATTATCATCTTAACACAAAGGGATGCCTTATTATTAACGCTCAGGAGTCTCGAAATTTCGGAAAACATGTGTTATTTTCGGGTAGTTTTAACACCGCCTTCACTTAAACTTAACCAATTTGATTTCCGTTTAGCGTTAATCCTTTAATTAAACCATAAATCATTTACAAATTGGGTGAAGTGTTCTTCGTCAGCCCAATGTGCAACTATAGACTGCGTGAGCATACACAACATGTTCCACTTTTACCTCACGAATAAATCTGTGCACGCGCGAAGCGATCAAACTGTGTTTATGCACGTCGAAGTCCTTCCAACAAACACCGCCTCATTACTCAGGCCACTTACCCCGATAACATAAATCAGCGGTCAGCTTTGGCTTTCCACTCCGTTAACTTAATCAACTCCCAATTTCTGGCGTAGGATTAACAGTCCATTTGTCTGCACAAATGAAGAAAATTACATAAGAACGATAATAATAGCTGAGATACCAAACGCGAAACAATTAGCCACTAACATGAAGATTGACTTCGGAATTCGCTACAGAATGTGCATTAAATGATGATGTTATCACGCAAGTCTACACTCCGAAGGACTTGGATAGAAAATCCGCCAGTAACAGTGCAATCAGGAAAGGGCTGACGAAACTTTTAAAACACGTATTTGCTACGACTCTTCGACAAGTGACATATTACTAATGACTTCTATTCTGCTGATTTTTGTGTAACACGTGGGGCAGCCGCAAGCGAAGCTTTCGGTATCCCATCCAATGAAGAAGCACATTGAAGAATAGAGCACACATATTCCTAAATAATTATCGTTTTTGATGTTATAACGGATTTTAATAACAATAGTTTCGGCTCGATAATAAAGGCGTTATTCACGTGATCATGTTCACCGATGGGGTTTTATTCTGTGTGAATCAATGCTCAAATGGTCTTTGATAAGATTGCTGCAAACATACGGGGTTTACTGAGCAAAAGGTCATATATTCCGAAGAGCGTGGGTTGTGCTGATATTTTGAGAATAAAAACGGGTAAATCCATTATAAAAAAGACTACTTTCACAAATTGTTAAGTAATATTTTGAGCAACTGCTGCGTTTAGATGCGATTCTTGTGCCACTCTTGTGAGTGATCACATGAGGTTCCCGACCTAGATTTACTTGATTTTATACTTCGTAACTACCTCAAATACTGTGAAAAGGCGTAGACAGAATCAAACTTGCCACCACCAATTGACCACGTTCTGAAAACTTAGTCAAGAACAATAGCAAAACTGTGGAAATATCGAACAATTATTGAAAAACACTTTGTGCAATTGCATTGTAGTCTTTATTTTATGTGAAATGCTCTGGAGAGTTGCATTACGCTAGAGCGAAGCCTGCGTCAAGACGGGCTGGAAATTTATCGATGACTGTAGTAGCTTGTATGGAGACGTCACCAACGTCGAGCGTTTTCGGGGGCCCATTGCGGGTGAATGTTGGCAGTACGCTTCCTATACGTCCAAACTGAACCCCTTCAAAGGCTAAACCTCTCTCGCGTTACAGATGTTCGAATTTTATAAGCGAGGGGCTGCTAGCGAACTCATGTGTTTTATGATGTAGCGCTAAGATTAATCCTTGTAAACATAAGACAAAGTTGAGTTTTCTACTGGCCGCTTTGTCGCACTCTTTCTAACAAACTCAACGTGACCTACTGATAGCCGTTCGCCCCAACTCCAAGCAGGCCAAAGTGTGCCAAGTGGCATGAAGTTTAGAATCCCGCTGGCCACCCAAAGTTTCACATCCTTCTGACTTTGAGCGCCACACAGAAAAGGGCTTTTGTCAGACGTTTGCAATCCTGAATATACCTAATTTAAAGTCAGCATACTCCTTGCCTTAAATCTAACCTCCCTTGCTTAGAAAAAAATGTGATTTCAGTTTGATTTATTCAGGTTCAGAATTTCACGCTTGTTATGCCCAACGCAATTTGAATAACCTTTATCTACATCCGTTTAAAGCTTCTACAAAAGAGGGTGGTAAACGAAATGCAAGTGACTTTTATTTTTCACCATGTGCGCTTAAACTTAATAGTACTGTACATATTTAACCCATGGCATTTTTAACTTCCGGCATACATATAAAAGGAAAAGTATACTTACGGAGACAGAAAGTATTGGTCCGACTTTGTATAATTCATAACGGTCAGTGGCGTTAGCTATATTTGAAAGTCCAGTACCACAAGGTAATTCAATCTTAAACTCTTCTAAAAGGCGTTCAGCAATTTTCTTCATCCTTTTCGGGCTGCCACCCATTAGGACAAACTTAACATCCCCAAACATCTTTTTGAGGTCATGTGAGTCGGAAGCGAGACCAATGTGGTAAAGGACGTCGACGCCCATACCAAGTAAATTTTTGTTTCGACACTCCATATGCATATGCTAAAATGTAAAAAATATTAAAAAGGGATATGTCAGTTAGTAGTCGAAAATATAATGCAGCCTTTCTCTAGCACTAATGCCTTCCGTGTGCTTCTACTCGAGTAGAAGCACACGGAAGACATTCGAACACAATACTGGAGTTAAATGCTAACTTAAAAATTTATAGCCAACACAAATAAATGAGCTGAAGAATATAAAAGCTCGACACATCAATCATAGGGTTGGAAACGTGGATATGCACATATGCTGAGGGCTTGACGATACTCTCTATATAAATACCGGCTAAAAGTCTAAATTTCAAGTAAGTCAATACTTATGCTGCTGTCGCATCATACAATAGCATGGTTTGAAGCATAAATCTACTGTTTCGTAAAATTACTACCCAGAAATATTTCAATAAACTTATCAGTGATAAGTACAGTACTGAACATATTTACGATATCAAAAAGAAATTGAAACTTCTTAGAAAAAAAGATAGTAGTTTGAAACTAGAAATGTCTTCTGTATACAGTACAAAATAAACCTAAATTGAAATTATGCCACACAAGATAATTATTTCGTACCTCGAGAGATGGCCAAACCAAATTGTTCAAGTCGGGAGATTGTACCCTCAAAATTATTTTACATTAAAGTTAGCTTATTCAAACAAAATTGGAGGTAAACGTTCGAAGACGTCAAAATTCTAATAGACCTTAATTTAGTCTCACACGTTCTATGTAAAGCCGATGTTTGAAAGTCTCCACGGTCTACACATAACAATCGCCTCGGGCAGGTAACTTGAGGACTAGAGAAAGAAATAAGTCCTCACATCCGCCCATCTTTGTGGCACATGCATTTTCAATGCATATCTTCGGAAATAAGTGTTAGTAATGAGTTGGGAGAACTAATCACACAGAAGCGCAGAGTCCATGGCACACATGATACTGAGTATGTCTCCGCAAAACTGCCACTTAATAGGAATATATGTCCTTGTGTTAATTAAACCGATTAGTAAAGGAATTCGCCATGGTATCTTACCAATGGATTTACTAGTCTCTGCCCTCTTTGAGTGGCCGGTAATCGTGCTACGCCCAAGCTGTTCAGGTCGGGCGTACATATTGAAGTTGCGGCGTTAAAATTTCACCAAAGAATTTGGAAAAGCAATCCTCATTAGGTATTGCAAACATCACCGAAGATTTTTGTTTAGTTGGCGAACAATATGGTGAATTATAATTTTGGTTGCCTGTTATTCACATGCCAGATATGCTTGTGTTTCAACTTCTTTAATTGCCATTTCGTTTGGATAGTAGCACCACGTATTAGGAACCGAATTTCGAGTTTCCAGACGCAGCAGTGAGCATATGTCCACGGTGAACGACAGAAGCCATCTACGGGGCCACTAATCCAGTCAATGAATCATTACCTGGGGTTGGCTCAGGCTGCAACATCTTGTGTGATTTTAATGTAATTGTAGTATTTATTGTCAGTGCACTGTCAGGATCAAAGGCCGTATATCGTAGAAGATCGAGCCAGCAAAAAGACATCATTATTAGAGTTTGTCGGTAAATGGGGTTTTTCGGTAGAAAACGCTACAGCTCATTGAACTATAACGGTTCGGGTCTAAAAAAATGGCTTAAGTACAGAGCATTATCAGTCG